TTTTGAGTCAAGAAATTAAAAACTTATTTGAAGAATAAATTTAAACTATTAGAATATCTCAATATATAATATCCTATTATGCCGGACGAGTCGTTAAAAGTCAATGGAATTATAGGGTGATAAGATGAGATATTGTCGATCGTCCTTATGACTATCTAGAAGATGAGATAAAATAAAAATACATTACATTTAGCAAACTTGGAAATTAAAAAAAAAAAAAAAACAATATAACTTTGCGTTGTTTGAAAAGGCACAATTATGAAAATAATTCTCCATCTTTATTTTTTTATTGAGAGATGAAATTGTGATAGTTTAACCAAAAGTTTATGAGTCTTTAAGTCAAGTACGTGCCCATGGAATTAACAAATATTTAACCTTAATTAATATTGTTACTTTCCTAGTTGTTATCTATATATACATTTTTGGATCACAATTAGCAAATAAATCCTGAAGTTGAGAAGTATTTACAATGGCATGCCATTAGCATTAATTATTTAGATTTATTTTATTTAAGTAAAAATTTTTAAATGAAATTCATTTTTCATATATTTAGTAAAAGTCTCTACAAAATCTTTCTTTATCTATTTAAGTAAAGATTTTGAAATCAAATATGTTCTCAACAATTTACCAAAAATTTCTACACAATCTTTTTAAAAATCTCGACTTAGTTAACTTCTGATTTTTATCTGCAAAAAAAAAAATTAATAGTAACGAGTGATGTAAAAATCGGGAATGTTGATATTACAATTTCTTCTACTTTTTTTTTTTCATATAATGAAAATTATTTTTAGGGATATTTTCTCAAAACCTCTAAATAAAACAAAAGGTTTCAAAAGATAGCTTCTCTTTTGGTGGGTCGACCCGCAAATCCGCAACTCTCTACGGGCTTATCCGCATGAACCTGCGACCAGTAGTGGATAAAAAATATTATTCAAAAAAAATAACAAATGATGTTTAATTTTACGGGACGGGGTTATATAGTGCAACAGGTTTAGATCAATATTAATATTAAACAATATTAAACAATATACGATGGATGAAATCCTAGAATTAAAAATCAAAATTTAATTATAAAATCAGAAACACTAAACAAAATAAACAATATTAACAAAACAAATACAACTTAAAATTTTGCAAAATAATTTTTTTGTTGTAAAAAAATCGACCCGCGGTGTACCGCGGGGTAAAATCTAGATTTGGAAGTTTAAGGAAGAAAAATCTTTTTAAAAAAATAATAGCTCCGCGGTGTACCGCAAGAAAAATCTTTCTCTTAAACTGACGCAAAAAGAAGAAGAAAGCCAAATGTCGTTTAAGTGTATATAACTATATATAGATATACCATTTAAACCTAAAACACAATTAATATACTCAAAACTATTAATATAGATATATGGATGGTACATTTATAAAATAGGTCGAAATATTATATTATACTCTCTATTAATAAACAAAACTAATTATATTTAGATTTTCTTTTAAAAAATTATAGCCCCGCGGTGTACCGCGGGTTCAAATCTAGTTTATAAGGTATGAGTTCAACTTTGACCAAAACTAAAAAGTTTTGAATTTGATACCTTTGTTATACGCATATTTTAGAATAGTTATAAAATTACAAAACTTAAAAAATATTGATTATGACTTCGATAATGCTAAATCACGATTTGGTATTGTACATCAGTTCACAGTACATGCTTAATACAACTAGTTTGTTAATTATCCTTATCCACATGACATTTGGGCTGAGAAAAGTTCAAACCTAAGGCCCAACTTCTAATCACATTCTCGTATCAAATAATAGGCCCAATTGCTAAATCACATTCTTTAATCTACACGAAGTTTTGTTTTTATATAAAACTTGAACCCGCACGAATTTTATGAAACTGCAAATCTTAAAAATTTTAAATTGAAAAATAGTGAAAAATTACATGAAATATGAAAATATTATAGTTTTGAATGATGTAAAGTAGTGTTACGGTAACAATTTTATTTTAAGTATTTTATTAATAGTTTGGTGTAAATGGGTAAAATTAAGGTTAGTGAAGGATTCTATGTAAATGTTTTAAGAGAATTGTGTATTAGCCATGGGAAAACACATAATAATTTTTTAATTGTTGTAATAATAATTTCCTAAATTAATCTTTAAACTAATTATATTATTATATGGTCTCACACTTTTAATGTAATGATACATAGTTTTTTTTTATGTAGTAGTGGGCAACATTTTATGGGCTAACAATAAAGTCTTATTAGCCTAATATATATTTACTGATCTTTTGACATTAGTATATTTAATTAAAAATAAATCAAAACATGAGATGAAAGTTTGGATTGTCTAGGGCTCATGCATTGCATTCAAATTACAAAATATTTTTGAGATTATGATGTATATAAAATTTGTAATTTATTTGAGGAATATTCTATATTTCAAAATAAAAAAGATTTAGTTTAGATTATATTTTGGGAAATATAATAACTGTTTTTTAAAACATTGGAACAATCAAATTTTCTTTTTATTTCTTCCATCTAAACTAATCAAAATTAATTAGTATGATTTTATTATGGAAATTTTAAAAATCAAAAATAAATTAGGCTTTGTTATTTTTTTAGTTATATTAAACAGGACTGTCGTTACAAGAAATATTTAACATTACCTTGCCAAATTAAATAAGTAAACATATATACAATTTCAAATTTTTTTCTTTCCATCTATACTAATCAAAATTTATTAGTATAATTTCTTAAAAATAGATTTAAATCTAAATTATATGATGATATTAAATTGATTTTTATTTTGTTTGTTTCCGGAAATATCTCAAAATATATTACGAAATTAAATAAGTTTACATATAATCAATTTTGAAATTAATAGTTAGATTTTTTTATGGAAACTACTTTAAAAATTTTCCATAAATATTGGGTAGTTATTAATTTGTTGATTTTATAGAAACTACTTTAAACGATTTCCGTAAATATTGGGTAGTTATGAATTTGTTGATTTAATTTCAGATTTTTTTTTATTTTAAAAAAACAAATATCAAATGGACACAAATACCATTTTCCAATTATTTTGTTTCCTTTTTCAAATTCAAAAATATCAATGACATTTGATGTAATATTCTACAACAAAAAAAAGTTCTTTATTTTCTAGTGATTCCCAATTAATAGTATAGATTGACATCACAAATTAAAATTAATGAAAACGAAATGTAAATGCCAAAATTTTAAATAGAATGATATAATGTTTTTATATGCATTATATCACTATATTGGAAAGGAAGATAATTTCTTTTTTTTTTACCGGAAACATAATTTTGCTCAATTTTTTTCTTTAGTATATATCTTTGGAAAAACTAAGAAATATACCACATTTCTCCAAAATCTTTCCAAATCTACCACATTTGGAAACTCTTTTCCAATCCTACCACATTTTGTCTGTGGAGTTACAATTTTACCCTCTCTTGTTGAAGCAGTTTTCGCGCTCCACGATGCAACGATTTGACTTCTCTTAACTGTTTTGCTTTTCTATTTATCTCTCATCCCTCGAGACACGTGCGCTTTAACAGAGAAACAATATCTCTCATGAGACTAAACAATTAACTTTCGGTTTTGTCTCGAAATCTTGTCTTCGATTGGAAATTTTCTGTTGCGTCTAGATCTTGTCCCCGATTTAATCATCCTGCTCTATTATCATGAATCTCACATCTTGTCCCCCAATTGTTCTCGTTTAAAAGTTTTGAATTTTATATAGATTTCACATCATCTATTCTGGTCCACAGATTAGTTGAGCACTATTGTCTTTACCTACCCGGATTATTAAACTTTTCTCCCTTCTATTGCGGAATAACAGAAAGATCTAGTTGTCCCCGAGTAAATCCAGATTTTTTGCTGACAAAACTACACCATCTGGCGATGGACAATCAAGAGAATTAGATGATAAAAATCATCATGCTCAATTTTTGATCTAATTATATTACTCATTCGATGAGAACTTGTCCCCGATCTAATTATATTACCCATTCGATCATAACTTGTCTTTGATCTAATTCTACACATTTAGATCTGGGTTTATTCTCATATGAACTTGTCTCCGATCTAATTCTAGTACTCATTCGATATGAACTTGTCCCCAATCTAATTATATTACTCATTCTATATGAACTTGTCCCCGATATAATTATATTACTTCATTCGATCTGAACTTGTCCATGATCTACTTTTATTACTCATTCGATATGAACTTGTCTTTGATCTAATTATATTACTTATTCGATATGAACTTATCTCCGATCTAATTCTATTACTCATTCGATCTGAACTTGTCCCTGATCTAATTATATTACTCATTCCATATGAACTTGTCCCCGATATAATTATATTACTCATTCGATCTGAAATTGTCCCCGATCTAATTATATTACTCATTCCATATGAACTTGTCCCCGATATAATTATATTACTCATTCGATCTGAACTTGTCCCCGATCTAATTATATTACTCATTCCATATGAACTTGTCCCCGATTTTAATTTAATATTATCTAATATATTAAGATAACAATTGTAAACGTGTAGCATTAAATGCAGACTGCTCCCTCTTGTCCCAAGTTGTCCCTTTCTCTGACACACTTCTCTCTCCATCAAGGGCAATTTTGTCCGGATTTAGGCATGTGGCAATAAAATGTGGTACATTTGGAAAGTTTTTCCCAAATGTGGTAGATTTGGAATGCCACATTTCAAAATGTGGTAGATTTGGAAAGATTCCCTATATCTTTTTATACAAAAATATTTTTTAAACAAGCCACATTTCACTTATGGATGGACTATGGTATAGAATATAGACATTACATAATATAAAATGATCACATAATATCAAATAAAACAAACTAATATAATATAAAATTTGACATAAAAATTTAAAAACATCAAACAAATTGATATATTTCTTTATAAAATATCTTTATAAAATATCTTATAAGATGAAACTAAGAGAGTCTCAGACATGATAAAAACACGAAAAACATTTAATAATTATTCTATAAATAATACATTTATGTGACCATCTTATATTTTAGCTAATCCTCATATTTGTGTCCCAATAGTATCTTGCTCACAACCATCTCAAAATTCATAGCTGAGGAACCATGTTTATGCTCCGTCGCTGCCTCCCCCAAGCGCCGCCACTCTTCCGCCTTCTCTCTCATTTTCTTTCCCTTTTCTCCATCCATGAGCTCTCTAACAACCGCCTCAACCTCCTCTCTCTTCACATCTCCACCGATCTCAATTCCCACCTCCCATTCATCACAACAAAATTTACAATTTGTTTGTTGGTCAGCAAAATATGGCCAACACACCATTGGAACTCCACCCGAGATACTTTCTAGAATCGAGTTCCATCCGCAATGAGTCAAGAACCCTCCGATTGCCGGATGAGAAAGAACTTTCTCCTGAGGACACCAACTCGGCAACATACTTCGGTTTGTGGTCTCCTTTAAAAACTCTGGTGGAACCAGCGCCTTCTCCCCGGCCACTAAATCTGGTCGGATCACCCACAAAAAATCTTTACCACTTCCTGCCAAACCCCAAGAAAACTCGACAAGCTGCTTCGCACTCAAAACCGTTATGCTCCCAAAATTAATATAAATGACACTGTTTTGAGCCTTAGTATCAAGCCAATCCAAACATTCCATCTCCTCTTTCCACAAATTCGAATTCATCATTCCAATACCACTACTTTCTTCGATCTCCCGGTTTGCTAAGAGATGAAGTGGTCCAATTGAATAAACTGGAGGTAAAATGGATTTCATAGCCTGAATAACGTCATGCTCAAGGTCATCAAATGAATTTACCATGATAGCAGAAGCACGTTTAGCTCGCGCCGTCTCGCGGAGGGCGAGTTTAAGCATAACATCATTAGGATTAGTGGTACGTATGAAGCTAGGAATATCCTTTAGTTTTAGATTCTTCATCGACGGTATAAAATCTATAACAATGTCAAAGTACTCCTTCGTCAAGTAACTCTCATCTGCCAAATCAATCACCATTTATTTATACAAATTAGTCTCCCCATATTAGTTAATAAATATTAAAGGACCGCACTACACAAAATTTGATGCATTACTCAAAAACCTAGGTTAGGTATTACTATAGTCTACGGATAGGCACGTACAATATACAAACGATCTCGTAGATTAAACTCACCGAGCTCGTAGTGTCGTAAAAGGGTTTTTACGCATATTTTAGGATAGGCACTTACGTTAATTTCCTTTTTTAAAAAAATATACATAAATTATAACATCAACTAATTAATAATTTATGTAAGAATACGTACCTTTTAGGGGAGATAAACCCTTCTCGATGAAGAGATAAAAGTGTAGATAAGCCAAGAATGCACAAGCACTGGTTGTCCGCAAAAGAACCCCCGGGACTCCAAGCTCCTCCGCAACATCAAGAGTAAAGCTCATACAACTGTCAGATACAATGCAACTCACAGGAGGAACATTATCTCTGGCATTGATTCGTTGGAGAAGGTTCTTAAACGGAGCGAGACAGTTGTTCATGGTGGACTCGCAAAGGATTGTGATGTCCTGTGTGGTGTCCATATCGGTCTCTGGCAGACCGTCAGGAATGGACTCAAACCGGAACGACGGAAGCCCGTCAAGGGCGTTCGACCCATAGGACCAAAGGAAACGGTTATGGTTGTAGACGGTGTTGACGAAGGTGACGTGAAAGCCTCTGACGTAGAGGAGTTTAGCTACTTTCATCATAGGGTTGATGTGGCCTTGAGCCGGATAGGGAACACAAACTACGTGTGGTTTTTGTGCGTTACGAACGACATGATATCCCATTTTTCGTTCTCTCTTCCGCTAAGACAAATGTGAGTTTTGGTTAATTTGACATAAGCCATTTTATAGAGAGAAAACAAAAAAATGAGATGCTAGAGTAATTATTTCTTGCACGTGGTGGTTGTCCTTACCTGCCATGAGCTTAAGTTTTAATGGCATGCATCAGTTGATCAGTTGCCAAGTATGTATACCAAGGCACATGTGCCGATCCTTTTCTAAGGGAAATTTTCAAATTACTCCCTCTGTTTTCTAAAGATTGATTTTCTGAGTTTTGCACACAGATTAAGACAGCATGATTATTTCATTTTAGTACTTATTTGTCTACTCTTTTTTGTTTCCCAACACTACCAACATTCTTTTTTTCTCTTTCTAATTCATCCGATACACGTCTCTTGATTCTTCTTTTTCTTCAGAATACTTCTTGTTTAAATCAAATTCCTTGGTGGAATTAGATTTCACCTTGTGAATCAGTTGAACATTTTTTGATTCAACTTCTTCTCCTTGCTTCACTTTTTCCATGCCATGATGTTCTGGATTCATTTGAATTTTTTGAGAAAAAAAAAACTGTAAATAAAAAAACTGTAAAATAATGGTGGATGTTGTACGTACAAGCACCTTTACTCACATATAAATTGACACAAGAGTAATAACTACTCTTTGACTGTACTAATATAAATTATTTTTTCCATGCATGTCATTAATTTACCTTTTTCGTAAAAAGAGAAAGCAATTAAATGTATTCTAAAAATCAATCTTTTGAAAACAAAATAAAAACTCAGAAAATCAATCTTTGAAAAACGGAGGGAGTATTATTGTTTTTTACTTTTCGTCCTAAATGAAAGACATAAGCATATTTAGAATTAGTTCATTATTAATGAGGTAATTATGTCAAATTTTAGTAATAAATTGATTGTGGATGATGTGTTGCGTATTTAATTTGACGGTTTTAGCTTATTGTTTCTCTTCATTTTCATTCATTTTTAGCTATTATTAGGAACATATACATATACATTTAACCATTATTAGATTAGGGAGTACTGCATCGTGGAAAATGAAGGTTCTTTGGAGCATTTTGAATCAAAAATAAGTGAAAATGAGGCAAATGAATGAAGGAGAAATCACGAGAGGATGAAGATAAGCATGAACAAGAAGGAAGAGACCGTGATTGACATGCAGGTCGATCAACATGTTTGATTAGTCGATCAATAAGTCGATTGGATGCTAGCAATGTTACGGATTTGAGCATAATCGACATGTTAATCAATCAATCAAAACTAGAAGTTTCATGGGACATTTAATCAACCTCAAGGTCGATCTTAACTCATTTATATCCGGTTTGTATTAGGTTAATCTGGTTCGATTATGTATAAATAAGTTTTAGACATCTCATGTTTATTTTGAATACTCATAACCTCCTTTACATTTCTAAACATTTTCATGAGATTCTTGTTGAGTTTTATATGATTTATAGGCTTTTGATCTTAGATTTATTTTTCTTTTATATAAATTCTTGTGATTATGCAAAATATTACTCTCTGCGCCTCAAAATAATAAATGTTTTAGCTAAAAACATACAGATTAAGAAATATTTAGTTTAAAAATATTCAACCAATCATGAAAGAGACAACATAATATAAAAATTCATAAAATATTAAATTAATCTATAATTTGCATAAAAACTTGAAAACATTATATATTGTGAAACAAAGAAAAATTCTCCAAAACATTTTATATTATGAAACGGAAGGAGCATCATGGGTATTTGTGTTTTCATGGAGACTAGCTAGTGAGTAGTTCTCTTTGGAACTTTATGTATGGTAGATTAGGGTGAATAATGGTTGGTTTGTGGTACGTAGGGATATATTTCAATTGATCCATGCTTACAAAGTGTATTTAAGGCTAGATTATTGCTTATCAAACTAGTTTAGAGCTTCAACAATTTTATGCCCCCAAGATATTCGATGAAATGCCGGATTGAGTTTCATAAGTGCTTTACATATTTTGCCAATGGAAATTGATGATTATGATGTTTATTATTATCTATGTAGACTACTTGTGATTTTAATGCATTCTTACATTTGATTACGACCAAATATATATATAACTAATGTCATGGAAGTGGATTAGTCTAAATTAGTGATCTAAGGCCTAAAGATTAACGTTTGTAGATTGTTTGAGCATCATGCATCAACTCGGATTTGCCCGAATTGATTACCATTACACTTAATTCGCTTGTTTTATTTAATTTCCAATTGTTTAGGTTATCACTTCACTTGTTTCTTGCTTTATTTTTCTTTAAATTTGATATTAGTTTTTTGCGTGCTTGTTCGAATTCATTAGTTCTTGTTTAACTAATTTTAACTTTATCATTTTAGGTTGTTTTTTAGAAGAAAAACCAAAACAATTATCATTTACTTTCATAAAGTATCTTGCATTCTTAATGTTAGTTTTTACTTTTTTGTGGTTCAATTCCGTTGAATACTATGACTACCGTACACTACCGGTTTTTATTCGGTTTTAAAAACTTTGAGCTATCAGTTGACGACTTCACGTGGGAGTGGACCACTTGCCTAAATTTTCACGTGGAAACTTTGGGTTATATTTGATTGTTCACATACACGTTGTATACTTGTATTGGACTCAAAACACTAAAAATAAACGTATACAAACACTAGATTTTCAAGATATCACGAACTTTATGATTCTTGTCTTCTTAACGAACTTTAGGTTTACAATTATGATCCATATTTTTGTGAAGACAAGATATGTGACAATTCATGTGCCAAGGCAAGGCTACTCCAGTATCTTTTTTTTTTTTTTTGCTTAGGAGTTGTGCCGAATTATTAATCTAAAATTTTGATCGCAGTTAAAAGAAACGGTTTAATGGTTTCAATATTTGATTCTAGTAGTTCTTGAAGGACGATCCATATTTAGAGGTCTTGAACTCATCTTGATGTGAGACCATGCACTTAAGACCTTCGAGATCAGAAGCCCGTGGTTGACATATGATTCGTACAAAAGTACTTCGCTGACATTACTTCCACCTACTGTTACTAAACGTCACACAGAATACGACATGTTTTAATAAAAGGTTCGGCAAAACAATCCTCTAAGTCAATTTTGTTTGCAAGTTTACCCTCTAAGTTCGAATTATGCAAGTCAACCCTACAATCTTAAAAGTCATCTGCAATACTGTCCTCCCGTGTAGTGATGACTTGGCACTTGTGCTACACGGTAGGGCAGTATTGCGGCGGGTGACTTTTGAGATTGTAGTGTTGACTTGCATAATTCGGAATTGAAGAGTAAACTTGCAAACGAAATTGATTTAGAGGGTTGTTTTGTAGAAAACCCTTTAATAAATGTTAAGACGGCACCTTTTTTTTTTTAATTTTTTAATTTTTTTCTCTTTTTTTTTTTTCTCTGCCCGTCAGACTTTAGTCGTGTTGGTTTTGAAACCGTGCAGCCACCATTAATAAACACACTGTTTATAACTAATTTTGTTATATGATTACAATAACATAATATATCTATTATATTTTGTTATAAGACCTACTAATGATAGTTAGAATCAAGTGGCTTTAAAATTTTATTTTTTAGTTGAATTGTGCTAAGTAATGCTTGGTCAAGTGGCTTTAAAATTTTAATACTAGCTAGCTTTGGAAATGTACGTTTGCACAAACACGCCGTACATACAGAATATTGGATTTTGAAAAGAAAAAAAAATGAATATTGGATTTTGGTCGTTTGAGTCAAAAGATTATAAAATTATTTGAAGAACAAATTTAATCTATTATATCTCAGTATCCAATAATGCTGGACGAGTCGTTAAAAGTCAATGAAATTAGAGATTGGTTGAGAAAATCAAATGAGATATTGTCGATCGTTCTTAATTATGACTATATAGAAGATGAGTTCAAAATATAAATAGATTACAACTAGTAAACCTGGAAATAAAAAATCGATATAACTTTTTTTTTTTATATATAACTCAGGAAAAATTTTAGATACATAGAGGAGTCTATAACTAATCTCTGGGACAAAGTATTCTACGGGTTTGGTTCTCCCAAGTTTTTAAATTGACCGTAAACAATAGATCTATACTCATGTGGCCAAAGAGATAAAACTGAGCAATTCTGTGTCTTGAAATCGATATAACATTGTGTTGTTTGAGAAGGCATTTCACAAAATAAGTTGTGTACATTTAGAGATGAAATTGTGATAAATTATTCAAATTTTAGATGAGTCTTTAATTAAGCCAACTATGTTCATATGGAATTAACAAATATTTAATCTTCTAAACTTAATATTGTTGCATTGCTTAACAAAAAAAAATATTACTAGTTATTATCAGAGCCGTCCCCGAGAATTTGAAGGCCAGAAGCAAAAAAAAAAAAGGCCTATTATTTATAAAGAAAGTTAAAAAAATTTTTGAAAAATATTGAAAATAAAGATAGGAACTCAAACTGTGCACCTCTCACTCTCATTGAACTTAAACAATTTTGCAAAAAATGAAGCCGATTTTATATATAAGGCAGTTAGCTTTGTTCGCTTGGCCTTGTCGATGGCTCTTCTTGTTATTAATAAGTTCTGAATTGAACTTTGACCGAAACTTAAAAATTTTGAATACGCAAATTTTAGAATAATTATAAAACTTAAAAAAATTTCTTATGACTTCGATAATGCTAAATCACGATTCACGAAAGTTAACTAAATATAAATCACTCAAATACTAGTTTGTTATTTATCCACACACATGGGCTGAGGAAAGTTTTAACCTACGGCCCAAGTTCTAGTCACATTCTTTAATCGAACAAAAGGCCCAAGTGCCAAATCACATTCTTTAATTTAATCAGATAATAACATAGGTTCACGCGCTACTCTAATGATCTGAAGAAAACATTCAATTATTGAACGACAACTAGAATAATTTTCTCAACAACTCCAACATAGAAATAAATGTAACTAATCTAAAAAAAATGTGACCATTTCTATTCTATTGAATTTTTTAAAATTAAATATTAAATAATAACGTTTAATCACACATTA